GCCGAGGGAGGCTCGGGGGCAACTCCAAGGGTTGCGATCCCGTTGCCGGTCCCGGTCCGGTACGGGGGCGACACTGAGTGTTGCGATCCGTTGCCGGACACGGAAAAAAGAAAAAAAAAAAAAAAAGAGATGCACAATAGAGAACATTTATAGAACCAAAAGATGGTTCTTTGAAAAGATCGATAAAATCGAAAGATACTGAGAGATACACAGTGTTCATGGATTTGAGGACTAAATATTATTAAGATGTCAATTCTCCCCAAATTGATCTGTAGATTTAATGTAATCCCAATCGAAAACCCAAAAGAAGTTTGGTAAATATATAGGAAAGTAAAGGTACTAGAATAGACAAAAATATTTAAAACCAAGAGAAGATCAAATTTGGAGAATTCACAGTACCTGATTTTTCAGACTTACTATAAAGCTATAGTGATCAAAACAGCATAGTATCAATGAAAGGACAAAAAACAATGGAGGAGAATAGAAAATTCAAAAGAACATCACCACGAGTATAGTCAATTGATAGTAGGCAATGGTGCAAAAGCAATTGAACAAGTGCTAGATGCTAGAACTGGACTTACATATGAAAAAATTTTTTTTAAAAAATTAACCTTAACTGATACTCATAATTTATACCAAAAAAAAAAAAAACTCAAATTGATCACAGACCTAAATGTAAAATGTAAAACTATAAAAATTGTAGAAGAAAGCAAAGGAGAAAGTCACGTATTTGCATGAGGCAAAGAAATCTGAACTATGCCACCAAATACATAATCCATAAAAAGGAAAATTAATAAATTAGACTTCATCAAAATTAAATATTTTGTTCTATAAAAGACATATTCAGAGAATGAAAGGATAAGCTATAGACTAGAAAGAAAACACACATCTGACAAAGGTCTTATACACAGAATATAAAAGAAACTCTCAAAACTCGAAAATAAGAAAAGAAATAAACTATGAGCAAAAGATTTGAACAAACACTTGACCAAAAAAGATATATCAATGACACACAACTACATGAAAATATATGCAACCTTATTAGTCATTAGGGAAATGCAAATTAAAGTTGCAATGAAATATCACTACACATGGACTCAAACCAAGTGCTTGCAAGGATGCAGAATAGCTGGAACTCTAACACATTGCTGTTGAAAATGTAAAATGGCATAACCACTCCAGAAAATAATTTGACGGTTTCTTAAGAAGTTAAACATGCGCTTACTGCACTCCTATGTATTTACTCTAGAAACATATATTCACACAAAAACCTGCATGTGAATGTCAATAGTAGTAGTATTATCCACAATTTCAAAGTTACAAATAACTCAAATGTCCTTCAATGTATGAATGGATAAGAAAATTGTGATGATCTATACAATGGAATACTACTCAGCAATAAAAAGAAATGAACTACTGATATATTCAATTACAAGGATGAATCTCAAATGCATTATGCTAAGTGAAAGAATCCACATCCAAATATTATATACTGTATAATTCCATTTAGGGCATGTTCTGGAAAAAGCAAAACTATAGAAACAGAAGAAAGATTAGTGATTGCCAAGGATCAGTAATGGAAGAAGAGTTTGACTACAAGGGTACTATCATGAGGAAAGATTTGGGGGTGATAAAACCTGTGTACCCTGATGGCGGTGATGGTTACATAATTCTATGGATTCTCACAACTCATAGAACTGCATACCAGAAAAAAGAAATTATATGCTATGTAAATTTTATAAAACAAATATTAAACACAATGAAATAAAGATAGTTTAGTGCTATGGAATTTTTGGCTGTGATTAGTAAATAGGAGGAAGCAGACAATGATTTTTGAGTAGAAGAGTGACACAATCAATCTTATATTTCAGGATTCCCAGGATAAATTAGAGATTAAAGGAATGGGCACAAATGCTGAACTGAAAGAAGGAAGACCATCGGGGAGAGGGTAATGAGTCACCTACCATGATGACTATGAGAATGGAAATAGAGGATGAAAGAGAAGGAGAGGATGAAAATAGCAGAAAGAAGAGGAAAGAAACAAAGGTTACTCACAGGCCTTAAATCAGGTGACAAAGCTAATAGTGGTGCCATTTGCAAAAACAGGTCAATCTGAAATAGTACACTATTCGGTTAAACAGAAAATGAGCTATCCTGAGGGAAAAGTCCAGAAGGCAAACAAGACTGTATAGCTCTAGATCTCTGAAGTACAGAAAGAGTTGAAGGGATTGAGTCACCAATCTGGAGATGTTTGAAACTTTAGGGATAGACAAGTTGCCAAGTTAGTAGAAAGGATAGAAAAGGAATGAAAATACAGGGGAAGGAAGGAAAAGAAAAGATGATGATAGAACCCTAATTAACATCTGCTATAGATACACATTCATTTTCTTTTTTTTTTTTTAAAAGATGACCGGTAAGGGGATCTCAACCCTTGGCTTGGTGTTGTCAGCACCATGCTCAGCCAGTGAGCAAACCGGCCATCCCTATATGGGATCCGAACCCGCGGCCTTGGTGTTATCAGCACCGCACTCTACCGAGTGAGCCACGGGCCGGCCCTCACATTCATTTTCCTAATTACTTAGAGAAGGTTCTACTTACCAAACTAGAGATGGGCTTCTCAACTCCTATTTCTCTGTCCACCGAAAGAGCAGATAATAAGTTTCAAGATAAGGCACTTGGCATTGAGTATCATGATGAAGATGCCCTGTTAGGAAAACCCTCAGAAAAATCCATTAAACAATATCCTACAAGTCGGCCAGGAGTCACTGCCAAAATACATTTACTTACTCCCTCCCAAAGTAATTCATATTTTTCCAGGACAAACTAGCTTTTCTCCATTCTTTTTAACTTCGTACTTTTCTAGCTATGACTCTTGTTGATGACATGATACAAACTGACTGAGAACACTAAATGCCATCTTCAGTTGAGCTTCATCATTTTAATATCTTAGCTCCCCAGTACAGTTACTCTGAAATTCCCCCCACAAAATTAGCACAATGTAAGTAATGAAACATGACATAACCCTGGTTGACCCATGCTTGGACAAACTGTCTTCCAAGGATGCTTGCTTCATTATATAAATCAATGTTTACTCCTTATGGGCTATAATTTTAAAAGAAAAAAAACCTTCAAAGAGTCAAAGGCTGTTGCTAAGTCAACAAATGAAAAAACTACAGTAGAATGAGTTGAACATTTATGTAATAGAGGAGCTTTCTCCTTATTAGGGTTGAAAAGAGTTTGTAAAGTATTATGAGAGATAATTCTCAAATGACTAGGGTCTACTTTCAATTGCTCAGGCTTTTTGCACTTATTTTGCTTTCTTTTTCTTTTTTTTTTTTTTTTCCTCCTCACTAGTTGGTGACATGCTAAGCAAAATCAATTCTGAGGTTTACTGCTTGTTGATTTTTTGAGAACAAGGAAAGCAGTGTTTGTCAGATAAGACACTATGTGGTAGAGGTGTAAAGTTATGCTTTATAGTTATTTTTCAGTTTAACTAGAGACAAGTAAAATACTAAAAGGAAAAAGATCAGATGATAACATCTTCAAAATAATTGTTGGCCGAACATGCATTCCTTGAAGAAAAAGTAATTTTATAATCAGCAAGAGAAACATTTTAAAAATAATTATAAGATTATATTACTCTAAGTCAACATTGCTTTTATTTAGATTCTCAATATTTCTTATCTTGTTTAATGAAACTGACTCTCAGTCTATTGCCCTGCTTCAAGTCTTGCTACCATTCACTCAGTCCTCTACAAAGGGATCTTCCAAAAATCAAATCTGATTATATCACTCCTGATTTTTAAAAAAAAGGACTCTTAATTATTCTTTAAAAAAATCAAAACCAAAAATTTTAGCCTGTTACACAGCCACTTCTCAATCCAGCTCTAGCTCATGTTTGGACAGTCTCCACCTCCTCACCACACGCACAAACTCACACCCTTCACTCCACAAGGCTAAATTGCTCACCATTTACTAGAAAGCTATTTCTTTTCCAGTTCCACGATTGTTACCAGTGAAGGAACTAGGGTGAGAAGAGTGAGGTATTTGCTTCAGGCACAAAGTTTAAAGGGATGCAAAAAACTCAGTAATCAAAGCAAATATTTTAATAAAATATTTTTTTAAATCATAATTAATTTAAAAAATTAATGTAAAGAAATAGGTGATAAACAAAATATCAAAATTTTAAATAAAGACAGTATCAGTTTTCCTTTCATTCTGCTTAGGAATGTCCTACTTATATTCAAAGACTAACTTAAGTCTTAGTTCCCTAAGGGGACTCTCCTGCCTGCCCAGAGCATAGCATTTTTCTCTGCCCTCTGACTCCACAGCCATTAATTCTTGTTTAATTTGTGTTGTACTTACCTCTCCATGGACTCACCTTTTTTCTGAACTGTGATAATTTTTAAACCATCTCTGCATCCCAGTGATTAATATACATCAGGAGTTCCACAAATATTTGCTGTATGAATAAATAAAGTGAGCACAGAGTAAGACACAGAATTTGGAATGAGAAACAGAAATTCCAATTCCACTTTCATGACTCATATATTTATCAATTTTATAGTGCTAGGTAAATCATTTGAGTCTTTTCTCTATCTTTAGAATGGGAATGACCTTACTTCCACAGGGCTTTTGGAGGCTAGTCATTTAACACACTTTTTTGAAAGAGAGTTCAAATAGAATAGACTTTTATTTATTTATTTGAATTGAAGAAGTTGAAGAGAGGAGAATGTGGTTTACCCAACAAAAGAACTACATCATTGAAAGCAGAAGCAGGAAAAGCATCAAGTACACTTTTTGGGGAACTGCAAGGGGTTTGGTGTGGCTCCATGTAAACAGGGATGGATCATCAGAAGATGAGACAGGAAACAAGGTAAGCAGAGCCTAGACCACAGTTGAGGCTTTCATGGGATCCTCACCTAGAAAGTCTTAACTCTAGTCAGGAATATATGACAAAATTCAGTTAACCTTGAAGTGATAAGAATGTGTTTCTGCCAAAATTGTAAATGGGGTTCAGGAGCTAAGTTGAATTTGGCTATAGAGGAAAAAAAAAAAAAGGAAACTAAGCCATTGCACATTCAAGTGTGTGAACTACTGTCTATTTCAAATGCACCACAGAATGAGATTTAAAAAGAAAATTATAGTAGGGATGGAAAGAAAAAAAGAAATTCTTGAGATATTGGGGAAGTAGAAGATATAAGAATATAAATATTGAATCTATAAGATGTTGAGGAAGTAGAATATATAAGTTTGGCAACAGACTGCAAGGGGGCAGAGAGGTTATTGAGAGTGAGGTATTCAGGTTAAAAGTATTAAGGCATGAGGAAATATAAGGCATGAATAGATATACCAGCATTTTAAATTTTTCTAATACAAAATCAGCACTAAATTATCTTGCCTTAGTGCTAGTCAGTTTTCTCAAAATCCCAGTTCTATAGTTTTGTCCAAACATTGCTTAGATCTCAGATGTTTCCTTTCCTGTCTTCCTGCATGTAGCAATTAAGAAGAAAGAAGGAAAGAGAGAGAAGGAGGGAGGGAGGGAGAAAAGAGAGATGGAGAGAAGAAGAAAGGAAGGGAGGGAAGGAAGGAATTATGACAAGTAAATAAAATGAAAACACATCTCTTGAAAGTTTTTCCATAACTAAGTTATTGCTTTTATTACCAGGAAGACAACTGCAATGTATCCAGGCTATATTTGAGTGAGTGAGTGTGTGTGTGTGTGTGTGTGTGTGTGTGTGTGTGTGTGTGTGTGTGTGTGTGTACAGAATATCTTTATTCCAATAGTAAAGAGGACTCAGTGAACAAAAAATAATCTTTCAAGTGATTATTAATTTTCCTTCTTGAAAGGGCTGTCTGTGCCAGCCTACCAGCCAGGAGTTCTATCACTTGCACTCAGCAGCTAACTCTACCCAGTTAAGATACTCATCAGCCTTTCTTTATGTCATAGTGAAACCTAGGGATGCCTGGGTCATAGGAACCAATCTTTTCATAATGTGTTGTTATGGGTTGAATTTTATCTCCCTCGTTCCACAAAAAAGATATGTTGGAGTCCCAACCCAAAGTACCTCAGAATATGACCTTATCTGGAGACAGGGTCTTTACAGAGGTGATCAAGTTAATGAGGCCGTAAGAGTGGTCACTAATCCAATAGAACTGGTGTCTTTATAAAAGTGGAAATTTGGACCCAGAGACAGACGTGCACAGAAAGAAGACGAGGTGAAAAGACATGGAGAGAAGACAGCCATCTACACGCCCAAGAGAGAGTCCCGGAACAGATCCTACCCTCACAGCCCTCAGAAAGAACCAACCCTACTGACACCTTGCTTTTGGACTTCTGGCCTCCAAAACTGAGACGACAAATTTTTGTTGTTTAAGCCATTCAGTTTGTGGTATTTTGTTATGGCAGCCCTAGAAAACTAATACACTTACCACAGCTAATCCCACTCTAGCCACGAGGAAACCTGCTTAATAAAAAGGACCTAGCTGTAAATTTGAAAACTAGGTTTGCCTATAAGCAAGACATTGTCTCTATAATTAGAGAAGTGCATCTGTTTCTATGACAGTGCAGTTTCAGTGGTACTTGAGCAATGATAAAAATATGCCTGTCATTTTGTGATTGACATTTCACAAAGGAAGAGGATAAACGTCTACTTAATAGACTACTTTTGAGGAATAAGAATTTTCATGTCACTTTAGAATGGTCATTCCAAACTCAGGAAGTCAAAACTATAAAATTACTTTGGGATTTTTTTGGGGGGGTGGGGGGTTAATTGTGTACTCGTTCAACTTGTAATTCTGGAACTGTGACATATGAGTTGGAGAAGTGAATTGTTAATATGAAAATAGGGATTTCTGTTCTTAGTTATAGAAATTTATTTAAATTCTAGCATTGGCAAGGCTATTGTTTTGAAGAGATTTACCAAAGCAAATCTATCAGTTCTAAAGTCCGATTTCTATATGCTAATTTCAAATGAAGAACATACTTGCAATTATTTTTCTCACAACCTCATGAATCCATAAATGACTGCAGGAAATTAGATATTTACCTGCCATCTTCCTAAACATTCCATCATTTCCAGATTGTTTTAACGTTTCAGTCCCTTGATAGGAACTAATTTAAACATGCTCTCTTCTCCCAGAACTTGCCTCTCCCCCTGCCTTACATATTTCTGCTAATGGTAGCACTATTCTTTCACTTGCCCAGGTGAGAACTTAATCCAACATATCCTTCTCTTCCCCCATATCTAGTCAATTATCAAGACCTATAGATTCTATGTTTGTACTTTGTTTGGCATGCCACTACTTCATTTTAATTTCACTTACCCATCCTATTAAAGTAGCCCATTAAATGTATCCCATCTCCAAAATTTTCCTCTTTACTCCAGCCTACCTAGTTTAATGTTTCTTTTTGCATGATGTCATTTAAGTTACTTTTTACTCAGAATTCTTGAGATGTTCTTAATTTCTTAACAATAATATTCAACATGTAAGGATTTTTTTATGATTTATATCCTATTTATTCTTCCTTCTTTATCTCTTCCTATTTCTATTTAGTATTTCCACATGTACCTCATTTTTCCTTTTTTCTACATAGTTCTTCATAATTTTCTTTTTATTCAGAATGCCCTTACCTCCTATCTCTACCGTTCTACCAATTCTGCAAGACCCATTTCAAAGATAAACTTTTTATTTTTCTGAAATCTAATATAGCCACACAATCTCCTACCCTAAACCCTTGGGTCCAGCAGATTTCTGAATTCAAAATCTCTTGGAGTTAACATGGGCACATTTCATTTATTATTTAACATCCCCAATGAAATCTGGCTAGTCTTCTAAGATCAA